TATATATATATATATATATATGTTATATCAATATATACATAATAAACAAAAATTGTGTATTTGTGTCGGAAACGGTCCATTCACGTTCTGTGTTCACAGATTGTGTTGAATCTTTTTAAAATAATTGAATATTAATTTAACATAATAATTACGTCACTTAAAGAATTTGATATTCAACATTCATAAGTAATATAATAATTCATAAGTAATATAATGTGTTTTAAAATGTGAATTATAAGATAAATAAATGAAATACGTATATTAATTTAATAAATCATAAATGTTAACTTTTTTTAAATATACTTTTCCGGTTTATTTACAAACTGTCGATATTATCTTTTTTGTATTTATTTTCTTACATAATATTTGTTGAGTAACATATTCATTTTGTATTAAATTAACCCAAAATTAGAATGAATTCGTTTGCGACATGCGGTTTATATTAAATTTGGTACATTTTTCCCAACAGTGTACATATTTTAATTTTTTATTTCATGTTGAAAATTGCATTGATTATATTTTGAAGACGTTATTAAAATTTGATTTATTTAGTAAAAAGATTAAGCAATTATATTCGAATTAATATAAGACAATAAGCATAAATGTTTATATGTCATATAATACGTATTACTTTTTATTACATTTGAAATTTTTTACACGAAATTTTTTCAGTGTCTTTATGCGTACCTACAGATATCATTTCCAGTTTCATTCAGTTAATAGTCAACTTTCGGCTGAAAAGCTGAATTGAGGTCAACCTAGAATTGATATAACTGTGAATATACTGTACCTGGAAAGATCGTATCCATGAACAATACAGTACTTCATTGCATTAACGTTTTGTGCTGACCAACTCATTTTACTTTGAATATTATTGCTCAAATATTTCAAAGCTACATTTTGAAATGAGCAGAACAATGAGCGAATAATTTATATTAATTGTTCAATAAATATTTACTGTTTTTTAACGATGGTAATACAAAATTTTACCATAAAATTAACCCTAAGTTTACTTGTAATTTTTTAAGATATGAACTTGCATGAATTCTTTTTTTATTTGTTCAAATTTATTGCTGACTTTTCGATTACAATATTTGATTATATCGAATACATAGTAACAACTTGTTCGATAAAAATAAAATGTGCAATCAAAGATGTAACATAATTATAAATTTGCATTAAATCAGTTGCACATTATCTACTTATTATTACAGAAAATAGTCTATTATATTTATCAAATATTTATAAAATGAATATAGAATTAAAAGATTGAGCTATACAAGTTTTAAAACAAACTTTTCATTACTTCCATTATTTTGTCAAAAAAAATTCCTAAAGTTGCCTATGATTTTTAGACTCTTAAGATGATATAACGCTTTAATTGTTAAATTTTATTACAATATTGATTGGGAAATATTAACAATTTATTTACATTTTTCAATAAATATTCTATTAAAACACATACACACACACCCACACACACCCACACACCCACACACATACACACACACACACAGGAATAGATTACAACGTAATAAATTAAATATAGCTTATTGGTAAATGAGTATTCTTCGTCAAGAATTCTTTAACAATGATGCTTTATAATATAAATTTACAATAAATATCTGTATAAATCGGTCTATCCGAGATTATACTATAAATCTTCTATTTTATCTAATTTGATATTCATTCTATATAATTTTATATTTATAAATATTTAACTATATATTAGGACTATTACAAATAATAAATGTTGTTGTTATTAATACACAAATACTTACAATATGATTCATAATTATAACTGTCTGAAAATCATCTGGTTTATAATTACTATCAGTATTATCATTTCCATAATCATAATATTCATCCTTACTACAATTTGTATGTTTACAATTGTTTTCTGTAAATTCTATAAAATATTTAAGTCCATTTTATAACTGCACTTTGTAAAAGTTATTTAATATTTATTTAATATTTATTTTAATAACATCTGGCTATATAACAAAAAATTGGATACCCACTTTATAAATAAATTATTCATTAATTTAAATTCAATTTATTAACCAAAATTTCGATTAAATACTAATCATGTTTTTGAACATTTTTTTGATAAACGTATACAATAGTTGATACGTATGTTATTTACGTAAGGAAAGATATCAATCAATGATATCCCACCACTTTCTTTTTAGACAATATTTCTTGGTAAACAAAAGGTAAAAATACAATTTCAAAAACATAAATACAAACTAAAAAGTGTCTTCTATCAGAGAGTATAAGCAATTTTTATAATATTGTATGTAATCTTGCAATAATTAAATTTTTCGTAAGATAAGCAAAAATGAGGTTCTAACAAAATAGACTACAAAATTAAGACATAGCAGGCAATATGCCTATATTCCTATTCTATAGGATAAAAATATATCTTATTCTATAAATAAAATTAATTTATGAAACTATAAGCACTTATTATAACATGATATAATAATATCAATAATACAGCCACACACTATTATATAAATTACGTAATTTGCAAAAGAACACCGTAAAAATTTTCTCCTCCGATTCATAGAATTTGTTTTTAGCTGATTTGACATAGAAACAAGCCACAAATATATGAATTATGAGTTTGTATTTCTTTAATTAGCTAAACAGAACACGTTTTTATTAGTATTAATAAAATGCAATTGTTTCTGAGAAATAAGGGGGTGCCGCTTTAGGAGACATATGTCAATATCGGTAATTTTCCCCTATATATATCAGTATTTTCCATATAATGACATATAAATGTTATTAATATAAAGTTATACTTCTAGTTAATTAAATTCTATTTAAAATCAAAGAATATTTCATTGTTCTCTGTTTACAAAATTAGTATTTTGAATAATTTTTTCAAAAATTTACTAATAACAAATAAATGTTTACGTGCAAAGAATAATTAATTCATTGTCAGTCGAGTTCTTTAATCATTGTTTAAATTTAAAAATTGATCTAAAAAATTTGTACTAAAAATCGAAAAATCTCTATTTCCAGTTTTTTCATTCCAGTTTATCATTTTATGTGTTATTATTTATATATTATTTCAACTTGCTCAGCCTTGCTCTACAAACTATGAGTGCGGATTCTTCACTGCGTGGAGAAAAAATTTATATACTCTCTCACAAGAATGGGACATTATTGTTGGATGCTGCACATAAAAAAATCAGAAAGCAAAGCACAAAAAGAAAAGTTAAAAATGCAACTTCTTTGGCAAAAAAAGAAGGAACAACTAAGCGTTTTATATAAGATTTAAATGTAATGGAGTTATACAATTTTTGTAAATTTTTTGTAACCTATTTTAAATACTTAAAATATATTTTAATTGTAAAAGTTAATTTTTTATTGTAAAAGAATTGTGGGTGATAGAGCAAATTTTAGATTATTATCAGATTTGAATCATCAAATTCTTATAAAATCAATATACATAATTTTAAAAAATTGTAACTTTATTGCCTTGTGTTATGAAAGAAAAACACAGGAGAGACCGGGTCTCATTGGCACAGTTTTCACAATTTCGGCATTAGATTTTTTAAACAATTAACTATTATGATTAAAATACATCAGTGTGATAGAGAGAACCTTTTTCTCTACATTTTCATACTAATAATAATCCTATACACTGTTTACTTTCTGCAATAAATGAAATACCAACATGCTGCATTGTAATTAACTTGCCCCAATATGTGGGGTAAATTGGTACATATCATAGTATAAATTACCTTTGTGATAAATTCTATATTAAATTAACAGAAACATAATAGGAAAGTAATAAAAATAAAAATTAGAGAGTAGATGTATACT